ACTTATTTATTTATTCATTTACAAATTTTATTAGATACTGATGATATTATTTAGAAAAATTTAAGTTTGTATCTTTCGTTTCGCCTTTTCCGTTATTATTTTAGTGAGAAAGATTCTCTCTTGTGAAAGAAATATAATTATACCAATTTTTATTTCATTTTGATACTTCGAGCATCGTGAACCCTTCCCGGGACTTGCTGCACGAGACAACCTCACCTCTCACTTCACATTTTTTCACCAAATAAAATAAAACGCGTAAATGCGAAACAAAAACCTAGTGTAGGTTGTAGGTATGGTCGAGTACTTTTTACTGAAATGTTGTGGACTAAAAAAGTGCATATTCAAAAAATCTAATTCAGAAACTTGAAATTTTGATGAAACTTGGTCGAATTTTCCTAATTTTTGTAAAATGTTTGAAATTTTTTACTCGTATACGGGCAAATCTAAAAAACAGGTACACTTTCAAAACAAAAACTTTAATTGTTTAATTTCTGGGCATACCTATGTTTTATATATGATTCTATTCGTAATCTCTTAATAAATCGATAAATATAAGTGTAATTCATTTTCATCAAGTGCTTCAAAAGTTAGACGAGGAATAAACATTTAGATCGCTGAAATAGAAAACAAAGATATAAGCTGGGTTCAAATTACACTGTGCAAAATTTGATTAAATTTTAACTATTTTATAAATAATTGCCTGAGTTTTGAAGTTATTTTACTAAAATTTAGCAAATAACGGTTTTTAGTATTACCTTGATTATTCCTTAAAATTACCGAAATAAGTTCCCTTTAACATATAGCTCCAATACAACTGAGACAAGTGTTTTTGTGGTATAACTCTCAGTTCATATCTGAATAATAAATTGGATGCGTGCCATATGTTAAATCAACCTATACTAAATTTTTACCTGCAAACTGAACAATCAGCTGTATGGGAGCTAGATGTTTTAGTGAACCGATTTCGATGATTTTAAGAGATAGTGAGGGTAATATTAAAATAAAATCGTGTCCAAAATTTTAGTAAAATATCCTCAAAATGGAGAGAGTTTTTTTTATAAAATAGGTGAGATTTATGCTAAGTTTCAAGTACCGCTATATCAAAAAGTGGAGCCAATCAGGCAAAACTGAGAACGCGATTGAATTTAGAAGGTTCCATTTAAGTAAGAGCAACTATCGGAACATTTTTTTCGAAAAAAAATTGATTTGATACCACGCTCGAAATATTCTGACTACAAGAAGGAGCATCATTAAAAATAGAAAATCAGGGTTTTTATCGCTTTAGAACAAATTTTTGAAGCACTTTACATGTATATGGAATGTTATAAGTACCAGTTGTTACAAAAATATTTAGATCGTTTCGACGTATTTTCCAAATGTGGAATAAAATAATATGGAATAAAAATTACGCTCAAGATCGCTGAATATGTTATCTTTAAAAGTTGGTTTATTCTGAAAGCACACCTGTTGCTAAGGTATCAAATTATGAAATGCTTCAAAAACTATACGCGATAAACCGAAAATTTTGAAAATTGTGAAAATTAGAGTTACACACTTTTCGCTACTTGCCATTTAGTTATTTTTTAAAGCAAATTTTAGTTACCAACTACATATGAAGTGTACACATACATAAGTACTAATTTCAAACCAGTACATGGTGAGCTTCCAAAGTAGTGACGTAATTAAATTTTCACCTCTTAAAAATTACATTGAAAAATTCACTCGTTTTTAATATTATTTTGAACTAAAACATCTACATATAACTCAATAGTTATGCAAAAAGTTGATTAAATATTTTTTTGGGGCTTCAGGTATACGTCTATGAAGTATATCCAAAAGCAATTAGCTTAATATAGTTTACAACAATGAAAATAAAGCTAAATAACGCAAAGGTTACCTGTTTTTTTAGATTTTGCCGTACACTTTCATAAAAAAAAATAATGAAAATTAAATAAACAAAACAAGATTAGCCAAAACTTGTTAAAATATCGAGTCTGTTTTATGTTTCTGCCGCCTTATTTATGCTTTTCTACACTTTTGGCTGACAAATGCGAAGCCTGATCCCATACAACTCACTTTCTAACGAAATTAAATGATTTGATATGTGTTGTTTGTGTTGTTTAAAATAAGTAATTTTGTGATTTAGTGTGATGTTTAAAGAGCGAAATATACACACTGGCGTCTTGTCAAACATACTTCAGACCTACTTTTTCCACTTCGCCTAGCAAAGAACTTTAGTTTTCTTCCGGTTCACAATGTAAGAAAGTTTTATTTTATTCCATTTTTTTTTCCTACTTCCTCACTCGGTGAAAATTCCGTTGCAAACACCATACGCAACGCAAGCGGTTTGATCAAAAGTCAAATTTCTGATTTTTGTTCAAATTTCCCTCAAACGTCTTGTCAAATTTTCAAACAGCCCCGTACATAACACAAATAGCTTAAAGCAAAGGGATATTTCGCTTGGCTTATCAAGCCGCTTCTGTGGTGTATTTCGCTCTTAAGCATTAGGCTTGTTTACTTAGTTCTTATCGTCTTACTTTGTTAGTTCAATTCTCAGCTCAACCATAGGCGCTCTGTGGCCGCGTCCCCTTAACCCTTATTCATATGTATATATATATATATGTACATTAGACTGCATCACCAAAAAAGTTTCGGTTTTTACGCCGTGATAACAAAACTTATTATATTTGAAGACTTACACCAAAATATTTTAGAAAATTATTAAGATTTACGTTAGCTGGACCGATTTGAAAATACCTCCAAAGATGCAGCTTTTTATGATTAAAAAATGTTTCTTAAAAGATTTTTTGAAAAAAATCCGCTCAGATGAGATGAAATTGGCATAAAAATAAAAAAAAACAATTTTTCAAAAATAAAATTTTCACAATTATCAAAACATCTTAGTTCAACTTCGAATGATGCTCGTTCATCCTCGTACCTTTCTCTTTCATACTTTGAATGAGTTTATTATTAAAAAAAATTAAAAGATTGAGAAAATATATTTCCAATGATACGCCACAAGTCTAAATCGGATATCAGATATTCAAGCTTTTCTTATAAACCAATCTTGGATAAAAGTTAAAAAACAGCATCAAAACTCTCGTTACCTCTCATTATGATTCCGTTGAAGTTTTTTTTAACATGTTTATTTAAAAAGCTTTTTTAATATTCAAACTGATTTGTCATTTGAGATGACTTTCAAAAAAATACTTTAAAAAACTATTTTTATTCGAAAAACTCAATTTATTCAGGTATTTTCAAATCGGTCCAGCTCACGTAAATATTAACCCTTTTCCAAAATGTTTTGGTGCAAGTCTTAAAATATAATAGATTTTATAATTCCAGTGGAAAAACAGTACCGATTTTTTTTTGTATGGTGAATGATGCAGTCTAATGTATATAGATTTGATTTCAATTTCAAATTAATAAATATGCACAATTGTATATTGTAAAACTCATTTTGAATGGGTTTTGTTCACAAATCCCATGAATCCGGATAAATAGACATTTTAACCTACTTATTTTAGTGTCCTTTTTGGAAAAGGCAAGAATGAAACGCAGCTAATTTACATATGTATGTATGTATGCTTAGCTGGTGATTCGCGAGATTTCATAACTAGTCATATTGTCATAAAATTTAAATATCGCACACCGTCTTCAAAAAAGGCACAACTCAAAATTGGCATTTTTGAAATTACATATGCGCTAAAAATGTACACAGTGCTTTTGTTTACTTTTCAGCAAAAGCTGGAGCAAATCTTTGTTATTTTTTGATACAAAAAAACCCCCTAAGGTAAAGGGAGACCTTTGCCCATATGAAGAGTGTTCGCTATGCAAAAAAATTGTACCAATTGTTATCAAATCGTGTTCGTTTGTCCAAAAATCCAGCAAAACTTGCAAGGAGTGAGCACAATTTTTACATTTCATTTCGAGGGGAAGTTGCAAATTCGTGCTGGGAAAATTTTTGCCAGCAAGAGTTTGCAAGCAGGATTGTTGCACGCGTTTGCATTTTTGTCAACATTAATTTGAATCAACAAGTTCGTTAAATTTAAAAATTAACAATCTTGTTGCGATTTAAGGCCTGTATGCAGCTCCCAAGAAAAGCAAAAGCTCCATATGACGTACAAGAAATGGCTAAGAAATTTTCTTGAGTCAAATTTCCTGCAGACAGTACGCAGTTCTTAAGAAATTTGCTATTCTTTCTACTACGGTTTTCTAAAGTTTTTTGTGAAAAAAGAGCACAAGGCAACCCATACTTGCAACAGAAATATTTCTTGAGGAAAGAGCGAGACAACAGACTAGTGAAGTATAAGTTGTCAAAATTCTTTGGGCACACACACGAAATAATGGGAATTTTTTTCTTGACCGATTTCTTGAGAGCTGCATACCAGCCTTTACTAATGAAAGAAGTATGTAAATATTTCTTTATTCAATTGATGTAATTAATACCAAAAATTTGAAAGGTACTCGGCTAAAAAAGCTGTATTCGTAATCGGAACGCAGTCGATATTGGAAATCCGACAGCGACTTCCACAAAGAAATTAAAGCGTATGTTGAAGAAAGTCCGAATAAGAAGAAATATCCTGTTTTGTTTTCCACCTGAATTATTAAAAAAAAATTAATAAATATGCTCGAAATGCAACCGTGGACGCCAGCTGGCAGTGAAGCTTGCAAATGTTTGCTAATTTATGTTCGCGCAAAACTTAGTAAGTTTTCTCTTTGGGAGAGTAAGATACCATATTCTTTGTTACTGGCTAATTCTTACTGGCATTTGCATAGCGAACAGAACTATAGTTTTTCGCATTATCTGACAAAGGCGTAATTTTGAGTTGTACCCCTGTTGAAGACGGTGTGCGATATGTACGTATGTATGTAGGTTAAAAAGATTCTTGAGTGATTCACAGCAACCATAACACAGTTTGAAATTTATGCCTCTATGACAATATGACTTTTATGACACCTTGTGAATGCCCTAACTATTCTAACATTATGGTACTCACTTTCTCTCTCTGATAACATCTCGCAAAAAATCCATTGCTTCGTAGAGACTCCACTTCGGTTTGAATCCGTTGCCCATCAATTTGACATGCGCCAATTCGCGCCGATACGATTCCCGCAGCGATTTGAAGGCGCGCGCCACACGCCGCCCCGGCGCATTGAACTCTTTGCCAATCATTTCCCAGGCACGATTCTTCTCTTCTTCGGCGCCCTTGAAATTTGGCAGGCGCGAGTCCCACAGTATTGGATTGTCGTGAACCATTTGGATGAGGCGAAGTTTGTCGGAGGCGTTTCGGCGGACCACTGCAAGTAAATCGAGTGTAAGTAAAAAATTTTCTTTAGTCGATGCATATAGTTGTTGTTGCTGTTGTTGCAACTGTTCAGCTTCAGCAAATTTGCGTTCTTGTTCGAATCTAAATTTCGTATCTAAATATTTTGATTTGGGTTGTTGTCGGTAACGGTTTGAATGTTGTTGCTGCCGCTGCAGCTGCTTCTGATGGCGTTGCAGCGACATTGAATTCAGTTGCCGTTGTTGTAGTTGGTAAAGTTGTTGTAGCCTAGGACTACCTCTACTTCTGCAACTTCGAAGCAATTTCGGGCAAGCCATTGTAGTTGTTATTACTGGACTGGATGTGTGGCTCTCGAAGCCATTATCTCTATTGATATCTACTATTGCAGTCTGAAAGCTTTTGGTATTGTGGTTGTTACTTGTAGCAACTTCACATTCAAACGTTTCGGCCCTTCGGCAAGTGAAATTCGAAAATTTCATATTTACATCTACTATCTCATTATACCGATTTTTAAACGCACATTTTTTTATTTTCTGCGACTGCGTATGAGATGATGGCGTGCCGGCATGCAATAGCTCCACGGCGGCGGCGGCAGCAGCGGAGGTGGCTGAAGCTCTAGTCTTCATGTCCAACGCTGCAGCCAGTTGACTTCCACCGCTCACACTCATTTCACCAACAGGTGTATCCGATTCAGGGGTTGCTACGCGCAATCTGGAATGCGCAGAACACGACGAAGCGCGTGAGGAGTGCGTGGGTGACGGAGGCCCAATGGTTGTTGCTATTGCAGCTGCTTCCAGCAAGGTGCGCGGGGAGGAAACTGGTGACGATCGGAATGATAATGGCGAAGAAGTGGCAGTGGAAACGTTCGACTTTTTAGGTGTTGTTGTTCTCGTTGTGCTGTTGGCTGTGATGGTATCAGATGTGCTGGCAGGAGCGAGGCTGGCACTGAGCGCGTCCATTCACAAAATCTTTACTTAGATATTCACAGTTATTTTTAGCGAGCTTTCGCACAACGGTATGTATTATTAAGTTTGCGCTTTACTTTTGTCGTTAATTTACTGAAGTAGTAAATCTCAGTTTATGTCATGTTTTGCTCGTATCCACTCTACTACTAATTCACTGAAGTCCCAAAGACTCACTGGACCACTACAGGTCTATGCACTGTCAATAGGTTTCAGACATGCCTCCCCTTAATAACCCAGTATCGCTGCTGCAAAATCGTACACTCACTCACTTCTCCCCTCTTCAGTTCTATTATTTTAAAGTTCCTGATTTTCTTTACAAGTTCTGAGTAGTCTATTGCTGCCGATTTTCACTTTTTACTACCCTCTCACGACCAAGTTTAAAAACCAACTAATAAAATCCAGCAAAACACCACTCAACCAACCAACCACCCGAGCCCAAGCCGAGTTGAGCACAAAAACAAGGCAGCAGCGCCAAAGCCAAAATCAACGCGACGAGCAGAGCGCTAGCCAAATGCATGCGATATATGGAAAGAAAACCGCTGTCGGCTAGGGCTGAGCGCGGCCACCGCCATTACAATAACAACAAATCGCGCTTCAAGCCGACGCAGCAGTCGATCCCAAGCCGCAATACGAAATGCCCACAATAGCAATAGCGAAAAGGAAGGAGTAGAAAGAGAGGGCAAACGGATGAACCAGCCAGCTAGTCAGCCATAAACGATCACTCACTGAACTTATGTTTGTATGTCCATATGCATGGGTGTGTTAATAAGACGAAAATCGTTGATGGTGACGACAGAAAAGTCCCTCAGATGTGTAAGTAGATTTCAATTTGGCTGTTAAAGTGGATTGATATATATCTGCATATGTATAGATGTATGTATGTATGTATGTACAATATGTACATATCGTACATATATATGGTATTGTAACTGTTGTTGGCTGGCGATGTTTTTGCGTTCCCCTTGTTTTGATACGAACTTGCAGGCCAAACTGGCGTTTCTAGCTGAACGCAGCTAACGTCGGCTTCGATATTCTTTGGCTTTATTTGCAAACGAAAGAGAGAAATACGCAGCAATTACTAAAGTATGAGAACAGAAAAATCGGGTTGACATCTCGAATGGTACTCAACTTGTACTACAAATAGCAAAGAAAAATACCGGAGCGGCTCAGCGTACATCAGCCGACATCGCACGGATTCTAACAACCGCACACACACGTATGTATACAGTCCTATCAACAACAACAGCGCGAAAAATATTTAGCACTAACAAAAGAACTCGGCTCAAAATCGCTTTTGTGTTGCCTGCTTACAATTTCTTTGAGTTCGCTGATATGGTCTTCGTCTTACAGCGGCTCGCCTATCTCGTTGTTCCATTTTACTGATGATAATTTTCCACATACACACATACATATCGTCGTTTAAAGTACAAAAGCGCGTATCAACAAAATGCAAAACCGCGTATGTGAGTCATATTTCAAAATGGTGCTCCTTTTTATAAAACAATCGCATTTCCGGCTAGTATATTTCAGGACGAATGGATAAGGATTGAGCCAAGAGCTTGTGTGAGCAAATACAATTTTTGGCAGCCAATATCAGTTACGCGGTTTTGCAGAATGACGATACGCGATTTTGTACTTTAAACGACGATATGTATGTACATAGTACATACATACTTGGTATATGGGGACCGCCTTGCCTGCTCTGTTTGTTGCACTCGCCTTAACCATAACGGCGACGACTCGGCTCACTAGTTCAAATGGCTGACTGATTTCTTAACAGCCTCGCTTGTTTTCTGGCCGCATCGCTAAAAATTAAACGCTGGCACGCCTGGGAGAGAGCATCTACTCCAACCCTCATTCGTTTGACGCCCAGTGAGCAAAATTCCTCAGAATTAGTTGTGTTTTAGGTTCTTCAACCTCGCAAATGTCTTTTTAGCAATTTTAAAGCATAGACAGGCGGCAGCGTTGATCTGGATTAACGGCACAGTTGATCTGATTAAAATTGTGTTTGGAAAGACGGCAGTAATGGGATTTACGAGCCGCAAGGCAGTGGGTTCGAGTCCCACGGCCAGGAGAATTTTAATTTATTTATTTTTTATTCATTTTATTCTTTTTATTATGAAGTTCTATACATTTTTAACGTGCTTTCAGTTTTGTTGACTTTTTTTAATAAAATTAAACTCTACAAATTTTAATTACTTAATAGTAAATTAAAAATGTGATACAAAATAAAAGAAAGTAAAATTTAATATTAAAAAAAAAAATCCTTGGCAATCGCTCCAACCGAGGATCGAACTTGGCGCCTACGGACTTGTAGCACGCAACCCTCACCATTCGGCTACCGCGGACGCCAAACTCGGTTGCTTTGTTTGCATACTTGTACAAAAGACAACAGCTGACCGTTTTCACCAGTGTTTTCATCGAAAATTCCCCTGATCCGAGTTAATTTCCAAAAATTTTGTGCCTTTATTCCACTGCTTATGCGCATTTGAAAAAGGGAAATGCATGAGTTAATGCAAATAAGCGAGCCCGTTTGTCACCCGCATTAGACTTTTTGCATAAGCCACATTTAACATTAGGGTCGTGTTTACTCATTTCATTTTTACAATTTATGGTCGCACTCGTTACACTGTGTGACGTTGTTTCAGTAAACGAGCAATATCGCTAGCTTAGAGTTAGCTTACCGGTTACAAGAGTATACAGAATGCGAAAAGGGTTTAAAAATTGACAGGAACTTTATTTACCGGTTACAAACTTTTTATTACCAGCGCAGAATAGACCTGTTACTCGCTCGCGGGTAGCATTTGGCTCTTTCAGTGTAAAGTTGCGACTCTCCATATGCAAAAATTAGATTGCTTAGTCCGTTTTACAGTAAAAATTATATTTTGATCAGAGCTGCAAACCGCTCCAAAAATCGAAGCAGTTCGGTTCAATGGTTTAAGCCACTTACAGGTCTATTCTGCACGTTACCGAAGATTTTGTAACCGGAAAATTTTATTACCAAAAAATGTTACCAGTTCTTGTCACCGCGATTCTAGGTACGTTGGTAATGCAGTTAAAATATTCAACAATTCAGCTATGAAGAATTGTGCAAATCCCGGCATTGCATATTTCACGGGCAATACTTTGTTACCAGCTTATGAGATGGTAACAAAATTTATCGGATACAAGAGTACACAGAATGCGAAAAGGGT